TGAGGTAAGCTAGTGAACACTACCGTCCCTGTCAACGCGCAGACTGCAACATTGCCAGATAATGCAGTAGGTTAAGCAAGTGAACAGAAACTACGGAAAGTGTCGGCCATACACAAACAAGACAAATGTATGCTTAATAAGTGTTTGTTCGACAGCCTTTTCACACATGTACACTTTGAAATAAGAACGGAGCACTTGAAGTGTGCCTGGAAATATGGAACGAGAAAATGAATTAGCGGAAATTCCATGTTGAGTAACGCGATGAGGCAAATTGGTGTAGTGTGCCATGCCTTGTTAGTAGAGCACTAATAGACCAGGTGAAGTGAGTTAGGCCCCTAAAAAGCATTATTCCTGATTATGCGGTTTTGGTGTCAAATTATGATAGTGGTCAATCTGTTAGTTGCAGGCGATGTCGGCGGAAGTTATCAGCTTTTTTCTTTAATTAAACTAATTCCTTAACATCAGAGCAAACCATGGTAGAATTTGCAGATTCCTAGTTAAAGTAAATACATTCAATTTTATCAGTTGTACAAATCGACCTGATTCCTTTCTTGTTAGTAGTTCAATTATCCTGAGACACATGCCCTTTAAAGACAGAGATTTGTGAGAGTCTCACATGACAGCATCTCATATGTGCAGCTCCTCTACGGTAATACCTCATCAGCAGATTGATGCAAGCAGCAAATTCAATCCCAGGCCATTGCTCGTGACGTGCTATGCACTTGCACACCACATTCTTGCACCCGTACTCCGCTTTTACCGTTATTCAGTAAATATTTGCTGTTAATGAGACCCACATAATTTGACCATGTAAAAGTGTTATGGATTGTACTCCGGAGCAAAAACTCTACCATCACTAACAGCTCGTAGATGATAATAATGCGAGATATTCCAGTTTATGTTGCAGGCGATGTCTGTGGAAATTGGTGATGTACATTGAAAGTGCAAATGAATGCTACTGAATGTCACAATGCACTATGACAAACTGGTGATGCTATTGCAGTTGCTAGAGTAGGAACTTGGAAACAACTTATGTGACCCAGTGTACCTATGGTAAACGATAAGTATATGAACTGCGGCACATGGTATAGGCTTGAGGCAGCAAAAATTAAATTTGTTTTTCAATCAAAAGCATTCTATAATTTTTTTTCTTATGCACAAGGGTGTAATTCCTTGAACTGTTTGGGTGGAAATACACTACTGGCATGAACCTATTTATGAGAAACTCGTTCAGAGACTGTGTTAACACAACTTATGGATTGATGTGATGAGTAAGTGGCAGGTTTTGTGGCTGAACTTGTCGAATTCATTTGCTTTGCTTTGAATTGGTGGTAAAAGGATTTGTTGTGGATAATGAATTAAAGAAATATGCGTCTGTGAACTTTGGCTAAGACGATTAAAGTTATCTGCACCGGCTGTGATCTAGTCTTGCAGTAGCTTGAGAAGTTCGATTCTAATGTCAGACAAGGCATCTGGTACTGGTTACCTGTGTGGACTTGTCTTCTTCACGAGCTAACGTGACCTCAAGTTATAGCTTTCAGATTGCTAGTTTGCGAGATGGAGCTAAATCAGTCTTGTTAGTTGTACAAATGGATCTTTTGCAACACTGATTCCTCTATTCTTCACACTAATCTCTCATCTCATAATCGACGGCGTAGCATGATAGGCAGCTCACAGGCAGAGTGATTGGAATTTTAATTACGAAATGAGTTATTTAAGTGACATGTTAGCGTTTTTTTGCCGTTTCATTTCCACATCCTCTAAATGACAGTGTAGCATAACAGGCACTAGAATAGGCAGTGTGGTGGGAAGTTAAACTCTGATGATTAATTCGCTGGAATTTTCCAATGTGAGAACATTCCGAGCCCACATTCACCTGTGGATGCACTCTCAAAATGAATGTCTTCATGCAGCGAGTTTTGCAGTTGTAGAGATTCTCATTCGCGAATGCAATAGATGGTCTAAAACAGACAGTGATTGGTTTTCACGGTGATGACTGCGTCCTCAAACAATTGACCCACTCTACGAGCAGGTCGGAAATCACTCAGTATTGAACCACTGCACGATCACCCAATGTACTTGAAAATCGCCACTGACTTTAGGCTATTTTTCAAGCACTGAGATCAGTTGCATTATTCGTACACTGACCAAGTCATTCAGATTGTGTAGAGTTGGTTTACGAGTAAGATCGACATTAGCTTATGTCAGACAATATGTCGTCATCATCAGCGTCGAATTTAATCTTCGTTAATTTTGTTTTTTAGACATGTTTGACTGTTCTTAGGAGTGACAATCTGGCAATATCCAAAAACGACTTTGCAACCGTCGTCATGTTTGCGTAAGTCTGTTCTTATAGATGCAATTCCCGTCTCCAAACGTACTTTGGATCTTTCCTCGTGTAATCAGATGACAGAATCAAGTGTTGCCAAGGACATCACTACCTCATATTCGACTGTGCCACTAGCTGGTACCTCTGATTAATGGCCTGTGGGTTGCCTTGGTTAACATTCAACGATGAAGCGGACATCGATGAACGGTTTGAAAAAAGGGGACTTGCATTTAAGAACGAAAAAGTTGCCGAATAAAAAACGTGTTTTTTTGAATTTTCTGTGGTATCATCATGGTGACAGAGCGATTTAGAAGAAAGAAAGCAAAGTGAAACATACCCCAGATTGTTCTTTGGTAGGTAATCGTGTTGTGGTCAGTTGCCGTGACTGGAATTGTCTGGTGCACACCTGGAAATCGAATCTTAGTTGTAATCTCTTGTTTGATTCGGTGAATAAGCCACATTCCATCTAATTCTTCTTGTTTTACTTAATTTCCCCTCTAATTAGAAACCATTAAATTGATATAATTTGAATGTCATTATATGTGATTGCTGAGATTTTTCCTCTGTATTCACGATTTAATAAAATGGCAATTTGAAATAGTAGATTTTTTGCTCTACACTGGGAGTTTATTGGACTTCTGATTACAGTTGACTAAATTAATGCAATGTCAAAGTTCATTTATGATGGCCAGCCTATCCTTAAATCAATTAGCCCGGGTTTGATCACAAAAAAAGGGATCATAATCTGTTATAAACCAAATACGAGTTCGGTCTTTTATTTTGCTGACTGCTTGGCATTTGGAAAAAATTAAGTCACCAAAGCTAATTGAAAATCAAATGATCCACCACTGGGGATTAATTTATGATAATAACGGAATTGCTGAATCATTCCAGAAGAAAAATCTCGTGTCACTTTTGGGAATGACAAAGGTGTTTTTAATGAACTTTCCCCACTCGATAATAAACCTGTACAATAAATGCTGCTGAAATTGTTAACTCACTCTGAAGGAATTTGTGTTCAACCGGACTTCCGCATGATCAACAACTCGAAGCTGCAAATAGGGGACATCATTAAGCCACTTAGACAAGGAGACTTAAGTCGTATTCATGTCAAATCACCACATTACATTTGAAACAATTGTTTTCCTTCATCAGGAGCAGCATTTAGAGCTCGTAGCTAGATGCCACTGTGCTTTGTGTCTGATAAATGATAGCAGCGCACCAGCTACCACCGCTGCTGTGTACGTGCATGTCAAGTAAGCACGTGGAAGCCTTTGAGGTGATGAAAGTTGCGTTAAATGAAAAGACATTTGCGTAGATTTGACATCTGGCGGAAGCTGCATCGATATGTCTGTGCTGAATTACGAAGCCGTGGGAAAATTTAATGTAACTTTGACAGAGATAAAAGACGAGTTTCGGTTAAATTTTCGAAAAATAAATCTGAGCAAATGTTATCGTCTTTAACATGTTCGCGACCATGCATGTTGCCCCAAATGTGTCAAGAAATATCATGCTGCTTTTTTGCGTGATGGAAGATTAAACGACTAACAAATATTTCCTGTTGGCCACGTGTTGCTTGACTACACTTGGCCTAATTATCCCTTAATCTGTCATCTGGCGTCAAATCAACTTCACGTGTGTATTGGTGATGACCAATGACATGTACGCATTCTTGGCAACCAATCACGAGCGAATATCTGGACGCATTTTCCGTTATCGCACGACTCACTTCGTCCAGACTTGACTGCAACAGGAATGAGTTGTCTTTGATCCAAACAAATTACTGCCGCAACAATAATAATATAGGCGGTAAATGTCAAAATTCCGAAGGCAGTTCCCATTTCTGAGTAGGCAAAAAATAGAAAAAAATATGCATTAAATCTTCTAAATGAATTAACAGTTTATCTTCAAAATTTAACAGGTATAGTTTTGCAAAAGGAACACTGAATCAAACAAAATCCAACGACTGAGTACCGTTTTAGACAAAGGCATCATGTATCGCCTGTGCGGGAAATTAAATCGTTTTGTTTTGAAAAAGTCATCCTGAAAGATCGTTTGACCCCTGATTTCCAAAGATGTTGATTTTGTGGATCTGCAACTGATAGGGACCCAATTTGTCATGGGTGTTATGAACTACTTGATTTGAGCGATAAAACATTTTCCTGAATTCGGCTAAGACAATTTCATCAACATTCTGTAAACTTGATTCTAATTCACTCTCACGTCCTCATAGTCAACAATACGACATAGTTTAACAGATTTTTAAGCAGTTGTGTGCTCTAAGTCAAGCATATTCTCTATAAAGTTGTTTAAATATAGCTTATATAAGCAGCATTGTTGGATCCTTACCTTACTCGAGATGTTTCCTTTAACACTGAAGTTGCGTCAACGGTGTAACCCGAGGCACGGTGCATTGACAATGCAAGATATCTCTGCTAACCGTCGTAAAAACCTTCGTGGTAAGATGGATTTCCTTGTTTGGAATCCCTCCACCTTCACCTCAGATCAAGGAACTCACTTTGAATCAGTCCAATTTTAAACTCTCACATGACTTTTGAGGACGCATAGCATTTTAACGATCCCATATATCCCTAAATAGAGCAGCATAATAGAACGTTTTCATCGACAAGGAAAAGTTGCTTTAAAGGCACGCAGTGACTAATCTGGTTGAATGGACGCGCCTCCCATCTTTCTACTCAGCATTCCATCAGCCGGAAAGAAAGTTTTGAGGTGTTCCTCTACTGAGACGGTTTTCGAAGCAACATTGAGGCTCCCTGGGCAATATATTACTCCGACATCCCAATCAGCATGACCAGATCCATGAAAATACGTTGATCGACTATGACTGGCAATAAAAACAAACTAAAAACAACACACTCACAATCATAGTCCGCTAATTCATTCATCCCCAAAGAGTTGTTCATTTGCACTCACGTGTTCATCAGACGCGATGCCATTCGTCAGTCACTTCAACCCATCTGCGATTGAAAACAGGTGTGCTCAGACGAAAAAAATGAGGTTTTTGCAGTCGACCATAATGGAAAACAAGTTGAAATATCTGTCGGAAGCCTCAAAGCAGTCTCCCTTGACATGGCGACGCAGCCAAACAGCCCTGCTGTAGGCACCGCTCCTCTCAACTGACAGTACCATGGTAATTAACACCAGTTGCTCAGGCAGACGCGTTCATTGGCAAGATCAAGACACAGCTTGAGGAAGAGGAAGCCACTCAACAGATGGAATACCGTCAATTGCGCGAGGTTAAGAGTATTTCGCAAAATTTAACATTCTATTAGAGCCGCTATTTAGGTTTAACGGACCTACGCTACAGTCGTCCTCGGCGGCCACATAACAATCGCACGAAACCTGTAGTGAATCGTGTTGATTCACGTTAAACACCCAGTCGTCGCAGCCTCACACATGTCCCCTCTGTTCACAACCTGCCCGTCTGTCACGTGAGACCGCTGGTTCATCACCCCGCTGAATGTACCATCACCACCACCACTTCCCGCATTGGTCAAGTGACCTCACAAGCGCCGGTGTTCATATTTACATGTCACTCAATTGTACACAACACAACTTGGTTGAGCGGTCTAGTAAACGGTTGTGCCTTCCCCACTCCGGTCTTCTATATTTGCGCGGGGACGCAGGGTAAAGTATTCGGCGTAGACAGTCGCATTGGCCCCGGCATGGTTCAAGACAACATGCCGGGGCCCTCAACAAACCTATGACCTACCTTTCAGAAATCACATTGGATGAAAATGTTCGCTAAATCGTCTAGTTGAGGAGGAGAGTTGTTGTAAATCGCGACGGTTTGCTATCAGTCTTCGACACAGATTTCACATTCTCACTGCATGTCACCAGCAGCGCGGATCCTCAACTTCCCCTCATTCGCACGAACATGTATCATGTATTATCCTCACATCTATGTCTTGATGTTGAAGCCTACATTACGCGCACATAACAGCCATAAACGCATGTGAGAACGCTACCCACGACACACAAACGACAACGACGATGATGACAAGTTTCCGGTCAAGTCCTCAAATAAACGGTTGACTAACTATCCCGTCGAGGTCCTCAAGACCGAAAAGGGCTTCTGAGCAAAAACAACTCTTTTGAATTGCAAGAACGTGCGACAGAAATCTGAAAGCATGGTTTACGCAGGAGCTGTCTTGGCTGACAACACCATGATTTCCTCTCCAGTGCTACACTCCCAGTGCCAAAATGCGCATACGGTGTGGCGATAATCCGCGAAGGAAGCCAGCAGTCACATGGAATCCTGACCACTTGATACAAGTAACAGCTTTTTTGTTCATCACTCCATCTCAACTACTGATACCTGACAATTCCGATTCTATCCAATCAATTATATCTACGAATGCAGCAGCGAAATGTTGTGCGTGAAGCAAATGTATTGATTTTTGTCAGAGATAGTTAACGTTCCCTGTCTGAAGTTCTAAGCCTGTCCTAGCATTGATGCAGTGGTGCCGCAGTTAGAAAGGGGTTTGTTTCTTTGCACTTATCGCTTGCCTGTGTAAAGCGTTGTATTAAATGCACCTTAATACCCCTCTACGTTTGTTGGAATAACATCAATGCCTGCATTAGAAAAAGAACCCAAAAAGTAAGCATGATATCTCAAAGCGATTTGTGCTAATACATGAACGAAAGCCTTACTGATATTCTATGCGCCGAATCACCTCGCAGGTTGTACATATAAACATACTAGGCATGAGACCAGAGAGTGGCTAATGTTTTATTTACTTAAGACTTGCAGACGCTGTCACGAGTACTGCACAAGATGTGCAATTAAGGGCATCGTAAAATAAAATAGAACCGGGGTTAAAATCCTTGAAACATCAGATGTAGTGGGGAATATCATCGTGGTGAGAGCAGAGGAAGACGCCGAACCTAGTGTACTGTTAAATTGTTGGCGTCCTTTCGGAGACGTGGTTGATTGGTATTGAGATATAGAAGACACTGCACTTGTGGTACTATTCAGTTCTTCAGGTCTCTTCGTAGAAATGGTTGTTTGGTATTGAGGTGTAGAAGGCACTGCAGTTGTAGAAGTGTTCGGTTCTTTAGGTCCCTTCGTAGAAATGGTTGTTTGGCAAACAGTTGTAGAAGGCACTGCACTTGTAGTAGTGTTCGGTTCTTCATGTCCCTTAACGAGAATCGAACACGAGTTGGAGCTTAGGGTAGTCCAAGGAGCAGATAGGGACTGGTCATTAGCACTGCACATGAATGGTAATTGGCGGCCATGTGGTGATTATTGTGCTTTAAACGCCACCAGGACTCCGGATCGATGCCCTATATCTACCTATATCCTAATTTCTCATTAAATCAACACAGAAAATCTGTGTTTGTCAGATTAATGTAGATTAAATTTAGTACATACCCGCATCCCAGTAGAAACGCTTCATATTTCCAAGACAGATTGTGCAATGCCTTTTGGATTATTTCAATTTGTAAAAGTGTTTTCTGCCTGTGAAACACAGTTCAAACTTATTAGCTGCTGAGAATTGTGATGAGCATATTAAACACGTAGAACATGTCCTCAGACGCCTCAATGTTGAACGGCTTTATTAGCAATCCATCAAAATGTGTGTTTGGAGTTCTAAGATTGGAAATATAAGGGTACACTCACTGCTCCAAGCCCAAGACCTACCAACATTAAGGTAAGGGAAATATGTGACATGTTGGATCCAGAGTGCATCAATAAACTACGATAGTTCTTAGCTATGTTCACGTTCTAACGTCCCTTTCCTTCCAACTCGGCTCAGACTATACAATCTCTGACCAATTTGCTTAAAATAGGTTCAGATAAAGTAATCATGACGGAGGAGGCACGTGAGGACTATACAGCTACATAAAAGGCTCTAGCAAAGACAATCACATGTTTTTACCGGATTGGATATCACCAGAAAACGAAGACGCTTGGATTACGTCATGGTCGAACACAAAAAATTAGTCGATGCATTTCCTCCTTCGCACGTCAACGCTGTAACTATAGGTGCACATGTGGTTTTCAAAGAAATGGCAGTAGCTCAGGAACAGGATGAGCAAACAGAGTCCTATACCCGGTTGAAGTTTCTGCACCACTACCCACACGTAAAATCGTCTGCCACATTTCCACAGATATGCAACCTATTTTCGTGTCACCGCAGATCAAAGAACTCACATGGAATCAGGCCTGTTCTAAACTCTCACATGACATCCGGGAACGCATAGCATTTGAACAATCGCAAGTGAAAGCTGCTTTAACAGCTCACAGTGACTCATCTGGTTGGGCGGACGCTCAACCCATCTCACTACTCAGCATGCCATCAGCCGTAAAGAGAGATTTGAGGTGCTCCCTTGCTGAGACCGTTTTCAAAGCACAATTAAGGCTCCCTGGGCAATATATTACTCCGACTTCCACGTTGAGCGATTATGACTGGCACGAAAAACAAACTAAAAACAACACACTCACAATCATAGTCCACTAATTCATTCATCCCCAAAGCGTTGTTCATTTGCACTCACGTGTTCATCAGACGCGATGCCAATTGGTCAGTCACCTCAATCCATCTGTAACTGAGAAATGATTGTGCCTAGACGAGAAAATGAGATTTTTACCATTAACCAAAATTGAAAAGAAGACACTGTATCTGTCGGACGCCTCAAACCAGCCTCCCTTGACATGGCGACGCAAACAGCCCTGCTGCAGTCAACCCCCCCATCTCTACTGACAGTACCAACGTAATTATCACCACTAGCTCAGGCCTACGCGTTCATTGGCTCGGTCGAAACAGCTTGAAGGAAAGAAAACCACTCAATAGATGGAATACCGTCAATCGCGCAAGGTTCACAGTATTACTCGACGCTTAACATGTTTTTAGAGAAGCCATTCAGGTTTAACAGACTTCCGCTACAGTCGTCTTTGGCGGCCACATCACAATTGCACGAAGCCTATCACCTACCTTTTGGAAATTCAATCGGATGAAAATATTTGCTACATCCTCTGGGTGAAAAGGAGAGTTGTTGTAAATCGCGTCGGTTTGCTATCAGTCTCCGACACAGGTTTCACGTTCTCACTGCATGTCACCAGCAGTGCGGATCATCAACTCCCCCTCACTCGTGCGAACATGTATCCTACATTATCCTCACATTTAGGGTTCGATGTTAAAGCATGTATGACTCGCAAATTAAAGCCATAAATGAACGTGCAAACGCAACCCTCGACACACAAACGAGAACGACGATGACGAAAAGTTTCTAGTCAAGTCCTCAAATAAACGGTTGACTATCTGTCCCTTCGAGGTCCTCGTAACCCAAAAGGCTTCTGAGCAAAAACGACTCTTTTCAATTGCACGAACGTACAGCAGAAATCTGAAAGCATGGTTTACGTAAGAGCTGTCTTGGATGATAACACCAAGATTTCCTTTCCAATGCTACACACTCTGTGCCGAAATGTGCGTGCGGTGTGGCGGTCATCTGTCAAGGAAGCCAGCAGTCACATCGTATCTTGACCACTTGATTTAGGAAAAGCTTTTTTGTCAACCACTAAATTTCAACTATTGCTACCAGCCGACCCCGTTTGTGCTAATTTCTCTCTTGGTTTATCCAATCAATTATATCTACAAATCAAGCAGCGAAATGTTGTGCGTTGAAGCAAATGTATCGATTTTTGTCAGAGACAGTAAACGTTCCCTGTCTGAAGTTCTAAGCCTGTCCTAGCTTTGACGCAGTGGTGCGGCAGTTAGAAAGGGGTTTATTTCTTTGCACTTATAGCTTGCTGTGAAAAACGTTGTATTAAATACACCTTAAGACCCCTCTACGATCCTTGGAACAACATCAATGCTGGAATTAGACAATTGAACCAAAAAGCAAGCATGATATCACAAAGTGCTTTGTGCTAATACATGAATGAAAGCCTTACTGATTTTCTATGCGCTGAATTACCTAGCAGGTTGTACATTAAAACATACTAGGCACAGAGGAAAATATTTCAGGTTATTCGGTTTTGGTGTCGTCGTGATTCTGTTTGTTGTACTTGATGTCTGCGTAAATCGTTGATGAAATCAGAGATGGTGATCCAGGATTCCCAAATGTAAATATATCTGCATGTGTGACCTTAACACGAAGCAATTTGGCTAAGATAACTAAAGGTCTATACACTGGCTCTATTGATGTCTTGCATCAGCGTGAGAAGGTCGGTTCTAGCGCCAGACAACACATCTGCTACTGTATGTCTGAGTGGACATTTCTTGTTCACGGTCAAACTTGAAACCAAGTAAAAACTTGCAGATTGCTAGTTAAGGTGAATTAGCTCATTCAATTTGTTCAGAATAAAGAGATTTGTGACAGTGTTGCATAACAGCATCTCACATGTGCAACTACTCTAATGTTATGCCTCATTAGGAGATTGACGCAAGTAGCCCATTCAATCCCAGGTCATATCTTTGGTGACGTGGTTTACGCTTGCACACTGAATTCGTGCACCGGCACTCCGCTTTTCCGTTGTTCAGTAAATATTTGCTGTCCATGAGGAGTGGCGAAGTAAACGTGCCTCGGATTGTACTCCACAACAATAACCGTACCACGTCTTCATGATGAACTCGTAGAGGGACTATGTCAAGACGGCTAATCCATTGTTGTGATGAGTGAGCTGCAATTTTTGTGAGATGCAAGTCTTAACGCATTACGGAAATTGGCTGAACGCATCGAATTCATTTGCATGGCGCTGAATTGGTGGTGAAAGGATTCGTTGTGGATAGTGAATAATGGATATCTGCGTGTGTGAACTTAACACGCAGCAATTTGACTAAGACGTTTGAAGTTATCTGCACCGGCTTTGGTCTAGTCTTGCATTAGCTAGAGAAGGTTATTTCAAGTGTCAGACAAGGCATCTGGTACAGGTTACCTGTGTGGACTTGTCTTCTTCACGAGCTAACGTGACCTCAAGTTATAGCTTTCAGATTGCTAGTTTGCGAGATGGAGCTAAATCAGTCTTGTTAGTTGTACAAATGGATCTTTTGCAACACTGATTCCTCTATTCTTCACACTAATCTCTCATCTCATAATCGACGGCGTAGCATGATAGGCAGCTCGCAGGCAGAGTGATTAGAATATTAATTACGAAATGAGTTATTTAAATGACATGTTAGAGTTTTTTTGCCGTTTCATTTCCACATCCTCTAAATGACAGTATAGCATAACAGGCAGTAGACTAGGCAGTGTGGTGTGAAATTTATTTCTGTTGATTCATTCAATTGAATTTCCCAATATGTGAAAACCTGAGCACACACATGCTTGTGGCTGCACTTGAGTCGCGCACTTTCTAAATGAATGACTTCGTGCAACGAGTTGAGCAGTATTGGAGATTCTCGTTCGCGAATGCGGTAGGTGATCTAAAATGGACAGTGATTGATTTTCTCGATGCATCCTCAAATATTTGACTTACTTAATGAACAGGTCGGAAATCATTTCGTATTGAACCCCTGCATGATCACCTAATCTACATGAAAATCGTCACTGACGTTGGGCTACTTTTTCAATCGTATTATTTGTTCACTGACCAAGTCATTTGGATTGTGTTGGACTGTCACGTAGCACGTCGTCATCATTGGCGTAGAATTCAATCTCCACCTGTTTTGTTTTATAAGCAGAATTGACTGTTCCCAGGATTGACATTGTGGCAATATCCAAATACGACTTTTTTACCGTCGTCACTTTGGCGTGGTCTGTTTTTCAAGATGCAATTCGCGTCTCCAAACGTACTTTGGATCTTGCCTCGTGTAATCAGATGACATAATCAAGTCTTGTCAAGGACATCTTTTACTTACATTCGACCGTGCCAATAGCTGGTACCTCTGATTCATGGCCTGCGGGGTCATGCTGGTTAACATGCAATAATGAAGCGGACATTAGTGAATGGTTTGGAGTCAAGAGACATGCAGTCCAAAACAAAAAAAATTTCCGGATTAAGATACTTGTTGTTTAAATTTCCTGTGGTAACATCATGGTGACATGGCGATTGAGAGAAAGGAAAGCAGGTTGAAACATGCACCAGATTGTTCTTCGGTCGGTCATCGTGTTGTGGACCACCGTGTTGTTATTGGCTGCCTTAAAAATAGAAACTACTCAATTGATTTAATTCAAATATTCCAGTTTATTTCGCAATTTCAGAAAGTACGTTTAGTGGTTCTACATCGAAAGTTTATTGGTCTTCATTTTTCAATTGAGTAATTAAAGGCTGTGTAGAAGTCAAATCGATATGGCGAGCATATTGGGAATCTAATTAAGCTGGGTTCAATCAAAAAAACAGATTATGATCTACTATAAGCCAAAAAGGAATTTGGTTTCTTGTGTCGCCTACTGCTCGACATTTGGAAAAAAATAAACTCAACACCGCCAATCGAAAATCAAATGTTTCATTACTGGTGATTAATTTATGTTACAAACGGAATTGCTGAATCATCTTATAAGAAAAAATCTGGTGTCACTTTTGGGAATAACAAAGGCGTTGTGTTTCTTGAACTAACCTCACCGGATAATGAACCAAAAAAAATAAATGCTGTTGGAATTGGTAAATCACTCTGGAGTAGTTTTTGTTCAACCGGACTTACGCATGTGTTTCACAACTCGTGACCCTGACCAGAAGCCGCAAGTAGGCCGCATCATGAAGTGACCTAGGTAAGAAGACTTAAGTTGATTCCATGTCAATTCATTGCATCATATTTTAATCCTTGGTTTTTCTGCATCAGGAGCAGCATTTGATTCTCGTAATTAGATGCCACTGTGCTTTGTGTCTGACGAATGACACCAGCTCACGAGCTACCACCGCTGCTGGGTAAGTGCATGTGAATTCCCTCGGTTATTAAACACGTGAAAGCCTTTAAAGTAAGACAAAATTGCGTTAAATGAAAAGACATTTACGTAGATTTGACATCTGACGGAAGCTGCTTCGATGTGACTGTGCAGCATTATGAAGCCGTGGGAAAACACCTAATAACTTTGACAGAAAGAGCAGACAAGATAGTTGAATTGTTAGAAAAAAAAATATCTGCAACCTCAATTGTTTTTAACATGTCCGCGACCATATTTGGTACTCGAAATGTGTAGAGAACTATCATGTTGTTTGTTTTCGTGAAGGAAGATACAACGACTAACAAACATTTCTTATTCGCCACGTGTTGCTTTACTAACCTTGGCCTAATTAACCCTCAATCTGCCGTCTGGCGCCAAATCAACATCACTTGTGTTTTGGTGATGACCAATGACGTTTACGCATTCTTGGATGCCAATCAAGAGCAACTTACTGGACGTATTTTCCATTATCGCACGACTCTCGTCGTCCAGGATTTACCGCAACATGAATGAGTTTTCTTAAACCAATCAACTTACTGTCACAATAAAATAAAAAAGGCGATAAATTAGAAAAGTGGGAAGGTAGTTGGGACTTTTGAGAAGGTCAAAAAATAGACGAAAAATATGCATCAAATCG